AGTTGCAAGGTTGGTTTTCCGCCTGGGGTCGCCTGAGGGGGGTGGGGAGGTCACCATTTTCACCGGAACAAGCCATTTAACCATCCAAATGATTTCTAAACGGGTTTATTAAGCTGAAAAAGTTGCCAAGTTCCCCTTTAAATACAAACATTGACTCATTAAACATGAACTAACGCCTCCTCAGGGAGGTTGTGTTGACAGATTCGACTAAATTGACAAAAACTAAAGACATTTCCTGTATATTTGTTATATTTTAGTTATTTTACATTATTGTTTCAGTTCACATATTTGAATTTCAGTTAACTAAAAAGGTTTTTTCACACTTAGTTTTCAGTTTATTTTTTAATCAACTACAATAATCTCTCATCAACAACACAAAACCGACCCCCACAAACTAAACCTCAAGGATTTAGAACTCTTTTTCTTTTCTTCTCTTTAACAACCTTTAAAAACCTGTTTCAACTCTAAAGAGGAACCAACCAAATCCCACAAACAGCCACTGAGTCTCACTTAACAACCACAACTAAGACAATAAAGTGACTCTACGTACCCAGAAGAGAAAGTTGAACACAAACACTAGGTATTTGATGCACTGAAGTGCCCCCATGGCTCTGAGTTTTAAGGCGATTTAAGAAAATCCAAACGTTAGTGTTTCCTGTTGTAAAGTCAGAGCGGCTTTGTCAGCGTGGGAAGAAGAGAAGAGTGGCTGGAGGATTTTTTCAGCAAACCGCACCCTGGCCTTGCTCACCTGGGGGAGGGACTGGGTTGACAGAGAAGGTGGGGGAGGAATACCTGCCCCAGCTGCTCCTCTGAGGTGTAAATCAGGGCAGGTGAGTGCAATTAAAGAGCAGGTAGATTAGTAAAACCCCATGACTCTGACTCAGGGTGAACTATTTATTCTTTCTAGATAATCAAACAGTCACTATCACATTTTTTTGGAGATAAACTGGTTTCCCAATAGAACAAACTTTACTTGTTTTCCCTTTGCACAGCGAATTTCGGAAGTTTAAATTCCCAAACTGGAGAACAAATAGCTTTGTTCCAGCAGCTGTCAGTCAGATTAACACGTTATAGTAACGTAACAAAGAGTTTTTCTTGTTTTTATCTGCATTTCTGCAGCAGTGGTTGTTTATTTGTTATTGATTTCTCTTTGTCCTGATTTTTAGAGCCTTTATCATTGTTGTTTGAGTTGTTGAGGAATGCCTTATTGTCTTTTCCTGCAAACCAAATCGACCTTTGTAACAAATAAAACATCACTGAACCTTGAGACCTTTGTGTTTACCCATGTGGGTGTTTAACACAGTGGTTTAATGTGTTTAACAAGTCTTTAATCTAAAATAAAAAGTTTTTACACACCTGAGGGTATGAAAGTCTACCAAAGACAGATGATTTAATATTTCATAACTCTAACTGACATCACTATTGTTTACACAACAAACAAACAACCGTTCTGACTCTTCTAGTGTTTGAGGAGATTTAAAGAAGATGTAAACATTAAATACCGTCATGTATTTCTAATTTCATAATATCAGTCAATCAATATGTACTGTTATTTTCTGTCCTGAAATAAATATATAAATATATATGATCCATAAAAACACGCCAGTGGCACGACACTGATATTTGAAAACAGATTAATAAAAGATTCTGTTCACTATTTAATGTATTTATCTGTTGATTTATGTGGACTTTAAGGTTTAATGATTGCTGCTGTGGTATAGCTGTGCTTCAGGGCATAGAGATAGTGTATATTTACATATATTATATATATATGTACACAAATATGAAAATAAATAAACTAAACCTCAACAGTTTAGTCTAGAAAATGATGAAAATAAAGAAAAATGCTCATCCACAGTTAAAAAAAAGACGGACATTTACAGTTGGAAACAAACAGAGGAAAGCAGCAAATTCTCCCATTTTGAGGGGCGGGAAACGACATTAACAGTTACTCGATTATCCAAATTGATGAGTAAGTGTCTGGGAAGTCTGTGGGAATACTGAGCGATAACAAAGAGAGAGTCACAGACGGAGGAAGGTTTGATTACTGAATGAACAACGAGTAAATGTAAACAGAAAAACAATATTCTATAAGCAGAAAATAAGGTGGAGCATCACAGATGTATTCACACACGTTGGGACTGGGGTTCAGTGTTTGCTGAGGTAACTGGAGCTGATCTCCTCTCCCAGTGGACCCAGTGAAACCAACAACACTAGCTTTGTTTCCAAGCAGCTAAAGCCCCCCCCCCCCCCCCCCC